AAAAAAAAACGCTCTAAATGCTCTTAGAAGCAGAAAAGTTTAAAAATATTCCAGCAGTTTTATTATTTAGATCATTTAATAACAGCAAATATATACCTTACATTGACATATTCAAAAATTTTATTACAATTGCATACCTACAAAATGCTTATGTACATACATATCGTTGTATAAAGTACAAAACCGCGTATCAACAAAATTCAAAACCGCGTATAAAGATAATGCAAAACCGCGTATGTGAGGTTTCATAAATTATTTGCTAGAGAGTAAAATCTCTCATATTTCAAAATGGTTCTCTTTTTATATAGAGCAATTGCATTTCTGGCTAGCATATTTCAGGACGAATAGATAAGGATTTAGCCAAGAGCTTTTGTGAACAAGTCCAATTTTTGACAGAAAAATGTTAGTTACGCGGATTTGCAGAATGACGATACGCGGTATTGTACTTTATGTAAGCTATATATTACAAAGTTTGAGCCGTGGATGCAAATACAATTTTGAAAGCCAGCGAAATGCATCGGATAATAATTGGTAAAACACTAAATACTAAACATTTGTAATTGCACTACAATCATACATACATACATTTAAAAGCATATCATTTGGAATTTAAATACATTAAATTATTATTTTCTAAGCTAATCCCGTACTAAACAAAGGTATTTCTGGCGATTTTTTCTCAAATCATCGAATTATCAACCTCAAGCTCTGTTTTAGTTTTTCTATCGAATTCAGCCGCCTCAGCCTCATCGGCGTCTAGCAAATGTCGTTGAGCGTCATCCTCCTCATGTCATACAATGAATTGCTATCTCGCCTTTTTAGCACTGTTTACTCCCTTCCCTTTTTTAACAACTAACCAACTACGCAATTGTAAATTTTGTAAGTAATTTATCCAACGTCGCATGCACAGCAGCCATATAATTCCATATAATATGCATATTATTGATTCAATATAGTATCCGTCGAAGACGATTTGACATTCGCCACCTGCAGCCTCACATTCCTAAAATGAATGGTTGTAAATTATATTCAACATTATCTCTCATTTAGAAAACCTTACCGCTTTTTGCGCTTTCGTCAGGCAGCTATTCTTCGCCGCCACTACTGGATCAACATGTTTACACTCTTGCCATGTCAACACATCTACCAACCACAGTACAACGGTATTCGGCCAATTTCCGCCTAGATTCGATAGTGTGTTCAGGAATGTCATGTACGTGCCACCAACGGCAGGATCAGAAATTTTGGCAAAAAATGCCATTACCGCTACAAACATGCAATACAGACACACCTGATACAGCGCATAATTCACAATGAGAATAACATAATAATAGATAGGTACATGACCATCCGTGATCATGTATGGCGTGCAATAGGTGATGATTGCTGCTACTGTGCTAAACACAATTCGATAGGGTATGGCTTTCAAAAAAACCTCCATCGGACGTGGCCCATGTGTATAGCGGCTCACTACCAGCGGCAATACTATCTGCAAGGGTATAATGGGTATTACTAGTAGGGCCAACTTCTCTTTTGGTACACCAGCGTCGATTAATTTTAATGAAGTAACTGCATCACAAGCAGCAAAAGTCACTTTAACGGTCAACAATATTCCAGCTAAGATTTGTATTGGACGCATGCGTACCATGTCGAACAGTATTTTGTAGCTCTCACGTAAGTTTAGCTCATGTTCATCGGTGTAACGCGCAGCAGTGTGTGCATCTTGCACATCATTTTCCTTTTTGAAAATTGCCACTAAGGTGGTGACCACCATAAAGCAGATGCCCCAAAACCATAAAAATTCTGGCAAAGTAACAAGTCCCTTATCAAGTGGCTCTGTGCGTAGGTAAGTGTTGCAAAAGTCTTTCGATTCCAGCGCTATAAATACCACATAGCCAAGAAAGTAACCAGCGGTTTGACCGACGCTATTGCAAGTCGATGCATATCCAACATTGCAGCGCTTTAGCATGGTCAGCGCCCAGCCATCCACCGCAATATCTTGTGTGGCTGCCAGGAAGTTTAATAAGAAAAATAACGTCGTTAGTAAGGGCACATTCGGTTCAATACCATCGCCACCTAACCAACGATCCACTTGCCACGACAAGAATAGCATAAAAATGCCAATAAGGTATTGAGATGGAACAAGCCATGATTTTCGCCTGCCAAATCGACGCACGTAGATGGAGTCGACAATTGGTGCCCATAGTAGCTTCATACTAAATGGCCAATATGCGAAAGAGAATTCGGCTTGCTGTTTATAGCTAGCTCCTCGGTTCTGCAACAACATGGGCACGGCGGCAATGAGGCCCAATGGTATACCTTGCATGATGTACAGGAAGAAAAGTATGGCGATATTACCGCGATCGCCGCGTATATCGGTTTTTTCGTGAATTTCTTCATTTCCATTTGCATTCAGAGGGCTATCTGAAGGTGGTGATTCGATAAGTAGACTTTGCTTGTCAGTAACATCTGTTGGAGACAGGTTTGTGTCCTGCCGACGACGCACAGTCATGTTTCTGAAAGCAAAATATATTTTATTAAACTAAACACCACCAAATATTTGAACAAATTTACAATTGCTATATTTTATAATATAAATCGCAGCGACACGTCAGTAACTTTAAGCCCATTTACAATTATGCCCACTCGACAGCGCATAGATTACGATGTGGTTGTATTGCGTGTCAACTTGTTTTATCCGACAGGTTTTTTAATTTTCAAGAATTGTTTAGATTGAGTTCGTATGCAGCCTAAGCAGGAAGATTTTAGTAGCGCAATGATTTAAAAAGATATTTCAGGACGTTTTTCACTAAAATTTTTATATTCTAATACATCAAAATTATGCGCAGAATAGGGCAACAGCAGGGAAAACCATTTTTTTAGTATAAAATTTAACAACAAATCATATTGACACTTTTGTTGTTGGAAAAGGCCACAGAGTTGCAACAGAAAAGTGTTACCGTAAAGCTGCAAAACTATAGATGGCACTATCGATAGTTACAATTTGTCACCACTATCGATGTTACTTTCGCGACTTTTCCATTTTTGGATGCTGGTTTTAATTCCTACTTAAAGAATTCATAATTACTTGTGCGATCGTGCATGTATGTAAGTTTATACAAACTATGTTAGACAATTTTTTTTATATGTAGCAAATAAGCAACACCTTCAACAAAAAAATTGCAAAAATTAACGGTAAGCCCTGGGTACTTCAAAGTTTCACTTTATAATAAAATTTAACGGACTACGAAAGTGCATATTCAAATTTTTTCTTATAAATAAATATAAATAAATCGGTTAATTGATTAATCGAAAGCATTCGATTGCCATTAATCGTAAAAAATAAACCGATTAATCGGTCAATTCGATTAAAATTAAAATTAATAAAAACCATTTATAAGTTGAAAAAAACTGACTTACACCCCGTGTCAAAATTGTAGCGCACGACAAGATTTTTTTTGTTTTTTAATTTTAGTTTTTTTTAAATATAGCTTATTCTTTAGCAAAAAAAAGTATAAATATAAATATTTCAAACTTTGTGTAATATTAAAAAAAAAAATCAACAAAAAAATCCAGCTTCTAATCTAATTATTCTGGGAAAGATTTTCAATATGCAGTTTTGTAGCTCATTAAATTTTTTTATGAAAAATTCCATGACTGAAGTATATCGCACTTACCACTGATTTTTGGTATTTTTCTGTTTGGTAATGTTGTTGCTTATTTTCTTCCATATAAAAAAGAAGAAAATGCGCCCAACTTATTTTGATTCATACATTATTGTGTGAGTAATTTGATGGTTTCTTTTCGACTATTTTGAAAATATCGATACAATTAAATCGTTAGCCGAATGAAAATAATCGGTTATTCGATTAATCGTGCCATTACTATTCCTGTGTTAACCGTTCGTATCGGCAATAGAAGAATCATTCTAGAGAATGCAAGAAAAAATGCCTATTTTCTTCCACAATAAACGCTTTTTTACTTAGTATATCTGGTTCTACTAATACTAGTGAGCACTGACATTAAGTCTTTGTTTTATTTTCAAATAGTATGACGCCTTTCCCAAAAATTTTAGATACGTGGTTAACGACGAAACGGGACGAAGTTTTTCGAAGTTCGAATTTACTTCTCCCAATTTTCTGAGAAAATACTACTCCCTTGGAGTTACTTATTGGAGGATTTCTTTCTCGGGAGACACAAATTCCCGGAGAACAAACTCACCGGAAGTACTAAAATTGGCCCGTAAGCATTTCTTACCGATAGTATCGATACTATCGAATGGTGAGGCCACAAACTATCGAACATAGCGAATGATTCAACTATCGATGGTTTTGCAACTCTATGTTACCGGTGTGCAGCAATAAAAGTACAATCTGTAGGCGGTTATTCATTATTGAACCTTGTACCCGTGCTCACAAAAATTCGTGATTTGTTACTTAAAATTTTAAGCATCGAATTATCTTCGCATTACATACAGTTTTTCCAAACAAATTTTTGAAAACACAAAAGGGTTAAAAGATTCAAGCTCTTGTAGAGGTACCAATTTATTAAAAATGCAAAGCACACGGCAACCCTGTTAATACGCCGGGTTGCAGCTGCTGATATTTGTGTCAGATTTGTGTTGTTCTCAGCTGAGTGAGGTCAGTTAAAAAAATTAGTTGTTTGCTTATTTGTTGTTAAAAAGTGTGTAAAAGTAGCCATGAAGATATAAATATTTCTGCAATTCATCATATCACCGCGGGTGGTATTAAAACTAATTTAGATAATCGTGCCATCAAACCAATTACGAAATATAGTCGCTGGAAGAGCGTTGCGTGCTGCTGAGAGCTTCCCACAAGCCTATCAAGTTGGGGCGGGGTAGCGGCGAAGACCTAGTGCTCGTGATCGATGGGGAACTAAACCGGTAGACATAGGAAACTTAGGAGTTGCGTGCACCATATTGCATACATATGTATGTAGCAAGAAGTACAATCTTTTATCAAGGTCATTTCATGCACTTTATATGTAATATGTTAATTGCTATCGGCCAATGCACGCAAAATGCTCCCAACGCAACATGAAAGGCGCTCACTCTTACAAAAAAAGAAACGCCAACATCCTAATAATTCCTCATCCTCTTCAGAATCTGACACGTCTGAGGTAGAGCTTATTGCAGTCGCCTGCAGTAATGGAGTGCAGCTTGCAGAGTATGGGCGTACTAAATCTAAAATATCTGTTTCCGGTATGTTAAAGCCATCCCGACGACGCTGTCGCCTACGTCCGGTTGCGCGTATGGTGTGTTGTTTGATGCTGGCACCAATAATATTATTAATGCTGTACATGCCACTCTATCCGAATTGGCATATTCAACGGCAAGGTATGTGAAATTGTAAAATATGGTATGAATATAGGTACATATGTACGATACTTAATTTAACTTTGTTGGCCTTTCCGTAGGAAAAAAATTATAGGAAAGCATAAATTTACGAAAAGACTAGGAATGCGGATAGAATGAAATGTATTCACATCTAACTAACCATTTCATCAAGCGAAATTAAACAAAAAAATTAAAATAATAATACCCTGCCATATAAATTAGTCCATTCCTGAGAAAACAACTCAAACAAAGGGTTGAAGCAATATAGGACTTCTTGTTCAACCACAACTATTTTTGCGGCAATATAAATATAAAGACTATAGTTAGTGAATTTTTCAAATAGTGTAAATAGAAACGTGCAAATTTCTCAATTATTAGAATAAATTGATAACAATATCAGTAGATTACAGTAATGGTTGTATTAAACTGGTGATAACTGGTTGTTATTAAAGGCCATACAAATGACGTAACTATTGAAAAGTATGTACACAGGAATGTGCATAAAAATTATCTCTTATCGCNTCGTTTGATTCACACAAGCCTAATCGTACAATTTGTGTCATAACTCTTCCAAAAATTATGCTTGTTCTGAAATACATACAATGTGTAATACAAAGCTTATCTTCCTTTGAAATCTTTCAGCTGCGCTACTCGACTGGGGCTACAATACGTCAAGAAATATTGCCGATTACGTGCTACCCGATAACAATACCGTGATTTTAGAACCTCAACATGGGTGTAATACTAAGTTGTTCCTGCTCGTTATTGTGTGTTCCAGCATACAAAATTTTGCGATAAGGTTTGTGAAATCTAAAACCAATAAAAAATGCATAGATATAAGTAGTGATTAATTTTTAGACAAATCATACGTGAGTCCTGGGGTAATACGA